AAAAAAAAAAATTTTGGTAACGTTTTTCTTATCGTTAAGCTTCTGAAAAATGTCAAGTTCGTGCTCTTAATTAAAGCTAGTTCTTTGGATTGTGGACCTTCTGAAGTATGTTTACAGGATTCTGAGCAATTGAACTTTCTTAATTTCATTAGTTTGAGATTTTTATTGAATTCTTGCATCCTTAAAATTTTAATGTGTTTTCTTTGACTACAAAATAATAAAATGCCCTTTACTTGTTCCGTCTTTCTTCTTAAACTAGATATCTTTAGATCTCCTCAGTTAGCCCTTTTGATGATGACAAATGTTTTTCCAATTTCCTATACGTTTTTGTAAATATATGTACTTTGAACATAAAAGCAGTTCTCAGATACTGTTATGCGGCTGAAGATCAATGAATCTTCTTTGCATTATAGTTTGTGTTTGTTAAAGAAATTACACCATACTTACAGCCCTTGACGCCTGTAATTTGATTTCAGTATACTACAATGTATGCATTACAAAAAAAAAAAAAAAAAATAAAGATTAAAAATGTATGCATTAAAAAAAAAAAAAAAAAAAATAAAGCTTACAAGAAAAAATAAAGCTGTGTTCGAACTTTGAATAACAATTCCAGTGCAGAATTGCATACAAATAGGCATTCATGCTTGTAAATGGTCAAGATTCAATTTTATGAATGAGGACGAAAGTCTATTAGTGATATGGTGTATCAAGAATATTTGGATCATATGTTATAGTAAATCATTTTCCTTATGTCTTTTTCATTTCTTAAATATGATAATAGATGCCTCACCAATTTGAAATTGGCTATTCCTTGAAAGTAAAGTATCTCAGTCAAGTTCACTTTCGTAACTAGCTAGCTCTAGAGCTAGCAAGTGAAAGATCAAATATTTCTTTCACTGAAAAGTTTGAATCTCCAATATTGACCAAAAAGCAGGACTCTTTTCATAGCGATGGCTATTTAACTCATGATCTCAACAAGGCTCTAGCCTCCAGTTATGGATTGCCACCCTAGTTAATCTTCAGTTAATTACACATACTCAGTTTACACAAAAGAAACCGAAGGAAGAAAAGAATAACAGGTCCTAGTCATAATATCGTAGGTCCAATGTATTGATATGTCATATTGTAGCAAAACCTCATTTGTGGGGAACCCTCCTGTTGGCTTCTCTCTTGTTGTCTTCTATTGCTGCTTATGTTAACCTTTTCTTAATTTCTTTCAAGTTAATAATTCATTTTGGTAAACATATGCTATCTTTCCTTGTTCTGCATCAAAATAAATGTATCCGAGAAAAAGATTAGTCATATGAAATCTTGGCCCTAGGAATGAATATTAGTCAGCCAATAACAAATGTACGAGGATATAAAATGACTAGGAAAACAAGCAAAATTTGGTGTCAATAACCTCCTGTGCGTGCAGATAGTTAATTAGCATGATAAATTAGGGTAATGTCATTTGAACAAATCGCTAACTACTTGTACAACTTCATAACGACTACGTGATATTCTAACACTGTTCATGTGGATTTTATATATGATAATTACGTCCCTAGTAAGAGATTTTACAAATAATTAACCGTATCTTACAGATTATTAGTAAGATGTTATACCATCCAAGTTATCCGTGTCTTGCAACCTACTAGTTAGATGTTATACCATAACATCCAAGTTATTTCTGATTATACTAATAACCTTTTCTGTCCCTTGCCCAATAAATTGGATCAAGCATTGTCTTGGATCGTTTTGTGAGTAGAAACTCCATCGAAACTGGTCAATGAAAACTGTCATACATTGTGAGAAGGATATGTGACAAGAAAAGGTATACTGAAGACAAGAAAATTGATTTCATGTCGTAGGACAACTTAGCCAGTGCCATAGCCAAGTGTACGGTGATAGCAGGGAATTTAATGCTTTAGATATACTGTCCATGTCCTTCACAAAAAAAAAAAAAAAAAAAGAAAAGAAAAAGATACACTGTCCATGATGAAAACAGTGAAAATTTGTCCAGTGATCTTTGGAAATTAGAATGGATTATCTTTAGCTAATCCAGGTTTCGTCCACTTTTTTTAGTGGGTGTCGACTTCATCTAGTTGGATATCACAATATTCCTAAAATAATTTTTTTTTTATATATATACTAACACTAAGGTACAATAATTCTTGCATAAACTACAATAATATATTATTTCTCGAATTAAGCTATAACAGTTACTTGAGGCTGACTTGATTATGTCCAATATAAGCATTAATGCTTCTCGTGGCAAAGCCTTATTTCCTATGCCAGGTGAAGATTAATTTCTTCAGATTCGGACATAAAAATAATTACAGATCGAACGGCCATATGCGATTCTTTCAACTCTATATATATCCTACGTGGGACCGTTCAGATTGGTCACCTGTCAAATGCCAACAACTTGACGTGTACCCTAGGTTCTCTAGTCCTACAAAAGTTCAAATCATGGCAAATAAGAATCTAGTGTGCAAGATCAACCAGATTTGGCTTCCAGCAAATTAGCACGATTGTTAGAGGTAATTATCATTCCAATAGGGTGATCTTTCTATGTAAAAACTGATTGACGAGATCAATGATATGTAATTATTCAGTCACTTCACCAAATATGTTCTTCAAGTTTTAGATTCAAATCTTACCATATGTGAGTTGTCTGGTCTAATTACATGTTAGTAATCTTCCCACCATTTTAGTTTGTAATAATGTCGAATTGTAAGGTTTTTTTTTTTTTTTTTGAAATATTGATCCCACTATTGTAGTCTGTAATAGAGATATCAAAATGGGTGATTTAGGAGGATTTGATCCGGTTATAATTGAATAACGGGTATAATTGTATTAATCTATTTATATCTATCTAATAAATTGGTCAAAATAGATCAACTAATTTACAACCATTTAATAAATGGGAATAGGTATATCTAATTACCATTTATAACCTGCTTGAAATTCTACTTATTTTCTTTTGCATATTGTTTGACAAGAATTAACAATATTTTATTCTGATTAAAGTATTAAGAAATTCAATTGTATCCTTTCAATACTCACCAAAAAATGAATTTAAATATATAATTATTTTTAAATGAATATAAATGAGTGAGACAATCGAGTCAATTTACTACCCATCAATTAAATGGATCTAATTGAGTCACTCATTTAAACTCATGCTCAAATCGACTTATTAATGAACAAGTTTGGACAGGTCAATACAAATACACTGTGATTAACGCCTCTAGTTTGCAAGACGTTTAGAACCCAATTAGTGTCAAGTCACCATGATCGTTTTAAACAAGTGATTTGTTAGGAAACAAACTAATACATTTCTGATTTGGCCCTAAAAAAGAAATGGTCTGAGATCGATGTCGGGATCTTTGTACTGTTTTAATATTTTTAGCAGAGACATGTCTATGGTCTCATTAATTAACCAAACAAGTGAAATATTTCTCTTTTTTTTTTTTGGATACAAAAATTTGGGCAGGTTTAGTTCCAATAGCTACTACGGTTAAGGCATACCTCCGGGATTACAAGTCGTTTATAAGGGTTCTTATAAATCACCCATCAATACAGTTCTTTTATTAGTAATAGAATTTAAACGCATGATTTTTGTGAGAAAATGGTTCTTACAAATCACCCACCAATATAGTTCTTGCATCAGTAACATAATTCAAACACATGATTTTTTGTGAGGGAATGATTCGTCCTTACCAACTTGTGTTGAAGTTGGTGAAACATTTCTTGTTCTCAGAACACGAGCAATGGATGCATAATTATAAAAAAATTTTGTATCCCACAACTAAGGAAAGTTATATCAGATTATCTATGTTAGGAGTATTCTGAATTCTATAGACAGATCACTGCATGCAGACATGCATTCCTGCTTCCAGAAACCTGACACTAATAAAAGCTTGAATTGGAGAGACAGTCTCCAATATATAGCAGTATCTTACCATCCCCAGTTTCCAAATGTCCTAATAGTGGGCATTATGTGGACAATGTTCCAGTTACACCTGAAAGGGACAGCCATTTAACAGCAGCACGAAATATCCTGAGCCTTGATTCTATCGTTAATCTTCCACTAATTAATAATTACTGCATTATAATATTCACTGCACAAGCGTCTACATGCTTAACTTTACTACTTTAACTGCAAATCACAATAATAACGTTTTTCAGCCATTGTGCAGTGAACTAGAGAAGAGTACCAAAGAATTGTATCTGGTTTTTGTCATATTTACATCTCTCACGAATAATCAAAGCTAGTGACTGATGCTGCTGCTTCACATTTGTGAGTAACTTCTTCAAATATTAATTGACAGAACATGAACATTTCCTTCTCAAATACAAGTCATGACCTTTTCTACGATAATCTGCAGTAAAATAAGAAGCACTAGCATAAAATTTAGGGTTTTGAATTAATGTATGTTAACGTAAATGAATTACCTGGGATGAGGTCTTGAGGTTCTTCCTAACATGGTGGCAAAAGGTACACTAAAATCCCAAAAAAAAAGTACAAAAAATAACCAACATATATGGTTAACCATTTATATCGAAATTAGCTTATTGGTGCTTACCGGGAAAAAAAAAAAAACGCTTATTAGCTTGCAGACAAAAGAGTACTGTCCAGGTAAAACACCATGACAAGGGACAGAAACTTCAGAAGGAAAAAAAAGAATACATCATGGTAAAATGATACGCTCTTGTTTACTGAGTCAATTATAGGTTGAAAATGTGACTCCACCCAGACTTGTTGTAAACGTACGTTTTTGACAGGGGTTTGATGAGGATAGTATGGACAAAACCCTTTACAATAATTGTAACTTATCCAGCATACGTATGGTTAATGGCAATATTTACTATTTAAATAAAGAGAAATAAACCATAGAGGAAGAAAAGAGGAACAGAAAGCAACTTTGTATGGCCCATAACATGTCAACTCAACAGGTCTGTGATGTGATCTTCATCTTCCTGCACCCCATTTTCTCCTGTTCCTTTAACCTTAACTTCCAATATTCTTTTGCCTGCTTTAGCAACAAAAATTTTGGATCAATCCCTCATCAGCTGTAAGGTCAAGCGAGAAGAGAGAGAGGGAAAAATTATCGTCATGGCAGGAGAGGGATCATCGAGTTCAAGATCCTTAGGTGATCAATCAGCTGCTGCTCCTAGCCGCTATGAATCCCAAAAGAGAAGAGATTGGAACACTTTTGGTCAATATTTGAAGAATCAAAGGCCTCCAGTTCCACTCTCCCAATGTAATAGCAGCCATGTTCTCGAGTTCCTTCGATACTTAGATCAGTTTGGCAAGACTAAAGTTCACTTGCAAGGTTGCATGTTTTATGGCCAGCCTGAGCCACCTGCCCCATGTACTTGTCCGCTTAGACAAGCTTGGGGCAGCCTCGATGCCCTCATCGGAAGGCTTCGCGCTGCCTATGAAGAGAACGGAGGATCCCCAGAAAGCAACCCCTTTGCTAGTGGTGCAATAAGAGTTTATCTTAGGGAAGTGAAGGAGTGCCAAGCTAAGGCAAGGGGAATCCCATATAAGAAGAAAAAGAAGAAGACTTCCCCATCAGGAGGCAAAGGAGATGATGAGTCAAGTTCATCCTTGCCATTCTCCTAAATTCAATCAATGCTTTCAACAAATGGTAAATTTTCCTTTTACTAGAATGTATAGTTATAAATTTGGCTGTGAAGTGATCGATTAGTAGTATTACTTAGAGCTTCAACTTGAGCTTCCCTCATTCTTTCAGCAATTATTTCAACTACTTGCCGTGATTGCTAATGCATCAGGGAAAAAAAATTGCATAGTAAGAATCTGGATTGCATGTGAACTAACTATGCTAATGAAAGTGTTATTATCTACTTTAAACACTCAAAGGGAGTTGATTAAATAGATTTTCAACCCCAGTCCCAAAAGAAAAAACAAAAATTTTACCAGCTAAATAAAGATTCTGCATTCCTTTTCTGAAGTCAAATACATCAATTTTCACTATGAACCCTAGAGGTGGTGTCACTGTGCACTTGGAGTTTTTGGTTCACCTAAACCCTCTACGATTGTGATCAATCTCTTATGATTAGTTGAACTAGTGCCATGAAATATTTCACCTAAGCACATGATGTTGTAATAAGATAGTCGTCAAATGCATTGACAGTGGCGTTATTTTTTCTTGATCTTTCACAGTTCATGGTTAAGAAATTAGTGACATATAATATTTGACCCACGAGATGAGGAGGTTAAATAGATCCACTCTCCATTCATTATCAACCCAAACATACAATGTCTCCAGTGAGATCCTAATTTAGTAGAATGAGGTATTATTTTCAAGTGTATGTCAGCCTTTCATTTGTTAGGAATCTTTTCGGATTTTGCAGATTTTGCGCCCCCACAGATTGTCATCTGAGGTAGCAGACACTTTTGATGGTATTCTACAATAGAAATGGACAATTATCCAAATATTCTAATGGTTTCTTTCCATGGTCTAGCAATCAAATTCTGAAACTTAGGTCCCATGTTATGCATGCCTTTTTTTTCATGGCATTTTTACGCTTAATTTTTAAACCACATGATCATCATTACAAAACCTAGCAGATGTACGAGAAACATAACATTTTTTTATTAATTTTTCACTGTTAAGCTATATTAAAACCTTGATTTTACAACCTCCACCCCCACTAGAATCTCTTTTCTAGTGCATTAAATCTTTGTGAGGGCATTTTAGAAATTTGCACCACCATGTTTGTTGTCCTTTGTATCTTTACTTAGATTGCTTTCTCTCTGCATTAGATTTCGTGGGACATCACACTCGACCATATTTGTCACATTGCTCTAATTTTTCAGTGACAGAAAGAGTGGTAGTATTACGTTTGCATGTACTTTGGCATCAGAATGATCCAGTTGGTGAACCAAAGGAACATCTTTTGTTTGCTAATAACAGCAATTTCCATTTCATTTAGCTTTGCTAGCTCAACCAATTTGTCATGGTTTGACCTTGACCATTACAATGTTGAGAAAATTGAGAGCCCTACTATATAGTATTTTAGCTTTTGAAGATTGGATATCAGAATGAAAAGGATTTTGAGAGATTAATCTAGGGAATGTAAATTGTGATTCGTTCACAGTTGGAGCAATATTCTGATAGAATAACCCACTGTTACTACCCTATTTGGCAGTTTGAACTTGTTCAAGTAAGACGCAAAAATGTTTATCCACTGATTTTTGTTGGGAAAGCCGGCTCATTTTTTTGGTTTTGGTTGGGGGGGAAGCTATGAATCTTCAAATTCTTTTTCTCGTTTCTGTCTATTATGAACTTCAATGTATGAGAATGGCCACTGATTAGCAGAAATGGTTAGCACTTAAGTAATCGCGCGTTTAAATTCTCAGTGAGTTTTCGCCATGCATGATTGTTTGCTGTTTGATTGAAATCTTGGAGACTAAGGAATAATGCATTATGCTTGGATTAGTAGCATAGCCATTTTAGACTCCAAAAGTTTAGTTTAGGATCATAGTACATCACAACCATTGTGATTTTGAAAATCACATACACAGCATACTAACACCAGAGATTTTCATAAACCATGTGAAAGTCTATCTAGCACGGGTGAAAATGCCTAAAATTTTTAAGAATTACAATAGAAGAATGCTTTTGAATTGGGAGGTCAGAAAGTTTAGTCATATTATATTATAATACAAACAAAGGTTGACAAATGTTTGTAATTGTCAAGTGTACAAGTTCTACAATCTTGTTATTTGGTTTTCGTGTACCATAGGGCGAAAACGAGAAATAAATGTGAGCCCTATCTATGAATATCTTGGGAAGAAGAGTATAATGGGAGAGCAAGATGTTTTAGAAAACTGAGATTCGACTGATTGATATCATCTTCTATCCCATCTATTGCGAGAGTGATTGATAGAACATTTCCACAAGATCACCAAATGAAAACATACAAGTAAGCAAATATTTTCAACAAACTAAGATTATTAATTTAGCAATAGTTTCACCCGTTTATTTGGTTGAAAGTTACAATTTGAGGTTACATTTGCCCAAATTTTTGAAGAACATGTTAGTAGTACATAAATAAAGGTGCCAACGACAAAAGGTGTGATCATGGCATATAAGTAAATGAGTCCATTGCATACCTACAAATGGAAGATGTAGTTAAGGTCCTTGGCCTGGGGGGGGGGGGGGGAAGGGAAGTACCTATGGCGTTCCTTGATTTATAGGGATATCAAAATACTCTTCCACTAGTCTTCTCTAATCAGCGAGTCTCAACAAGTGTAGTTCTGGCCACTAATGAACCTTCTAGCTTTAACCAATTTGATTCAAGATTCAGTAAATTGCTAACATGTATGCTGCTACTTAAAGATATGCATTGCTTTTGTAAATGGATTATACTGATTAATAAGGCTGGTAATTGACATGCATCTAACTCCAGATTGTACGGCTTTAGATAGAATTTTTCTTTATTGTACTGACACATTTTTGGAGCTATAGTCGCAAGTATTTAACTTTCCTACGTGATATATGTACTTAGGAACCGAAATTGTCAGTTCTTGACAACGTGGTAGTTCCAGATTGAAAGTCGTGAGTCAGGTCTTCAGTTTGAGGTAACTTTGAACTTGACTGGGAGCACTGCATCTTGATGTATTCCAATGCAAAGCAAACTGTTTGAGTCAACTGGGCTCCCATTTTGATGTTTATATTCGATTCCTTTTCGAGTAAATTCTGTGCACTTAAATGTACTGACACCATTGTACTCGAGGTGTTTGGACTATTCTAGCTTTGTGGAGAAAAAAGTCTCGTCCAGGAAGGATACACATACATACTGGAACTAGGAGTTGCTCATTTCTTTTGTTGTTCTTGTTCATTTGCTGGAAAAGCATAAACTATTTTACAGTGCTTAGTCGTTGACATATAATTCTTTGATTAGTCACAAAAAGGACAAGCTGCCCAATATATATCGCCAATCAAAACATGGGAATCAGCAACTAGGAATTTATCTATATTGAAATTGTAAGGTGAAACTATGAGTTATTTTGGCATATTTGTCTTGGGATAGCTTTTTTCTGTATATATTTTTTCCCTTTCCCCTTTACTGGCTGAGTTGAAATATGACATCTTAATGATTTATTTCTAACATTTGGTAGGAATCTAGTTGTCTCCAACAACGGACCGTGGGGATGCAACTACATTCTAACAGATGATTATGTGTACTATTTGTCTGGATTCTATATTATTTTCTGGATACAGAACTAAGACCAACTAATAAAAGTTCAAGTCAAGGACATTGTCTTTAATTGAGTAGATTTAATGACAAGATACTTAAAGCAAATCTAATCTAGCTACTAAAGCAAGTCTAACACCACTCCAACCCATGCATGGACTAAGTGGTGACCACTTTTGCTTTGATTTGCCATACAAGATTTGCATATCAAGAATCAGAAGTTGGTCTTCTCATCGATACGAAAAACTATCAAGATTTGAAAGCAGATTTACTCCACCAGTGGAGAAAAGAAAACAAAACAAAACAAATTTTCTGCACTAGTATAATGGCTTCCGTGTGTTGCAGATAGTTTAATTAATTAAATTTATGAAAAAAATTTCAATAATTAATTCTTGGTAGTTATGTTCCAAATGTTTGAAGACAATTTTTAAGTTGATGATTATGTTGTCTTTGAGCAGGACCATGTTGGTTGATGGAGTAGTGGACAAGTCCAACCGGGCACATTCTATTGAAGTTGCAAAATATCAAAAGCCAAAAAAAAAAAAGTTGAAATATATCACTCATCAATTATCATTCACTACTGCAGTTCCCTTCTGTATCCAAAGTTGCAGATTAGTGAAATCCAGTAATGACTCATTTTAGCGTGTTTTAGGAGCCGATTCTTTTGCTGTTTTGTGGGTTCTCGGCCGGGCTCCCTTTGAGGCCATGAATTCTTGTAGAAGTGAGGCTTCGTGTTTGTAAAATTGCTATTACTCGTGGTATATATTGCTTTCTTCACTCTTTTTTTTTTTTTTTTGCACTCAATATATAAATACTGCTACTAGAGAAGCATCCTGACTTCAGGTTTTCTTAGTATGATGGTGTTTACCTGAACAAGGAGCCTTGGAACACAGAATGTTGCCAAAAAAATGCCACGAAAATGCAAATATTATACTGTTAAGAGTAGGAATTAGGAAGGAAAACTTGTCTGGGACTAATGTTTCTCATCTTTGTCAATATTTTGCTTTACTTCCCGAAAATGCATTCCTAATTTGAGAGTACATCCGTCACCAATATCATGGAAAATGATGCATGATCCGGACTTTTATTTTATTATTTTGTCTTCTTGCATGCAATTGCTCTCTCCACCATGCATCAAGTTTTTTTTTTCTTTTGGATTTTACAAGGGAAAATGCAAAGTCTTTATTGTTTTTCTTGATAATTAAGTTTTCTAAACCATTTTGAAGACATAATCTTAAGACCAATTTTTTTCAAAGTCCTTTGTTGGTTACATAGCATTTAATGGATCAAGAAATGCATCTACCCTAGGGTTTAGTAATTTCTGGATTTTCAAACCTAATAAATTGTTTGGCAAGCAAGTTTTTGGCCAATTTTACCTGCTACAAGTTTTTTAAAAACTTTAGTTACAGTAATCTCAAAAAATTTCTCAAAGTTTTTAAAGTATATACTTCAAAATATCCAAAAATTTATACATTTCAAATATTTTTTTTACAACTTCTATAGTAAGGTATAGTAAAGTTTCAGACAAACATTCAAAAAACTCACTTGCCAAACGGAGCCCTTGGTGTTGGAGCAGTTCATATCAATAATTCATATATATATATATATATATATATATATATATATATATATATATATATATATATATATATATATATATATATATATATATATATATATATATAGCCTTTGACACACACTAAAACCAGTCAAAATGGTATTTAAATCCAGGGTCACTTGCTTAAGTTTCGCAGATTATTTCATTGCCAAAATAAAGAAATGTGTTATATCAACTTATTAATATTGCTACTCGTAGAAATCTTATTATAAGAGATTTTTATTATTGAGCCTCTATTGTCAGTTCCATCCTGGACTGCCCTTGATCATGAGGACCGTCAGTCAATTAATCAGAAGGGGAAAATAGAAAAGAAAAAGAAGAGAAAAGCAAGCTGCGCTGGGAAACTTGTTCTACATGAAGAGCGAAAATAAAACAGCCAAAAAGATCTAGTTTCAAAGCCACTTCAATTGATAAAGTATGTCCATGCTTTAAGGTTTTCATGTAGATTTTGTTTAAGTGATAGAACAAAATTTTCCTATTCTAAAGCAAATTCACAATTAAAGAGAACATGTATGTGATCTTGACCAGGCTTGGCGGATAATCTTCTAATTCTGGAGTGTCAACAAAATTGTATTTTACATGAAACTTTCGTCCTCTGTTTGTCAATGATGAAGAAATAAGATACATTCCTGATTCTTGGTTTTGTTCTTTGATTTCTCCCCTTCTGTGGTAAAGATATCTATTGCATTCCTAGAGGACAGATGATAATTATTTATTTAGGATAGATGATTAATGCCAAAACTGGAAATTAATACGACTTGCCACTCATAAAGATGTTATTCCTCTAACCCTTCATGTAAATAAAGTATTGTCACAAATTGGAGGAGATTGAGAGAAGATAAGTGAGTATTCTAATCATTTCGTTTCAAGGACTACTAGAATGAATTTGTTTCTTAAGTATATCGTCGAAGGATTTGTCCTAGCTAAGTATATAAATGAGAATTTTTTAGCATAATATTATAATTTTAAGAAAGTGTTTTCTTTCATTATGCTTGTAGCTTCTGGTATTCCTTTAGTCTCAGCATGAGTTGAGGTATACTTCTATTAAAAATCATATGCCATTTCAAAGTGCTGTCTCGTGGAACTATGATCAGCTACTAATGGGGAAAAAAAAATAGCCAAAGAGGTCCAAGGAAAATAGGGGTTAAGAACGAAAAGAAGTAGAAGAATTTATGTTACTTGGAAGAAAAATAAGACTAATGCTTGAAGAAAGAAAAGAGCAAGATTGTGGATCGGACCGAAGGACAAACTAAACTATTCGATATTTGAATTGAGTTCAGCTCAGTAAGAGTTTGTTTAAACTTGGTTTGCCAACTAATCGAACCGAACTTAAACAGCATTTTTGCGTTCAATAAATGTTCAAGCTTAGTTCAAATTTGGCTCAATTAGCATAAAATTAAAATTTATAAGTAAAAAACTCAAGCTACTCGAGTTCGATTTGAATTAAGCTCGACAAAAACTCATTTGAGTTCGGCTTGATAGATAAACGAATCAAACTTGAACAGAATTTCAAATTCGATAAAATAATCTAATAATTTTGCACACTAGAGTGTTCGACTTGATTAGTCTCATTTACACCCCTAATCGTGAACAAAGAATTTTATTTATGGGAGAAAGAAAGGGTAGTTAAACATTTTTTTTAATCAATTTGAAGTTTTCACTTTTCAGAGGGAAATCAGATAAATAGATGAAAAAAAACAGAAAAAAAACAGTAAACATGCTACTTAAAGGTAATCTTGAGGAGAAAAGAGAGAGAGAAAAAAAAACAAAGTAAGAAAGAAGGCAACCAGCACTGTCATCCCCTAACTAATAGTGTAACATAATTATAAGTTACAACAGCCAGATGAGAGTATTAGCTGAATAATCTTGCATTGCATCTAAACTTTTATGCCTATCCAATATCTTAATACAAATAGAGTTTGAGGAGGCTTATAATGTTACAATTTTTTTCAGTGTTTGAAATTTCTCTTTTACTGTCAAAAGCAAGTGTAAATTTTTTTTTTCCTAAAAAAAAAAAGCAAGGAAAAAATAGTTCAACTACATTCAAAATAATTTTTTTATTTTTATTAAAAATGCTAATTGTATTAGTAACCACCAATAATTTTATAAATAACTACTAGCAACTATCCATCTATACATTTTTATTTTCAGAAACTTCTTTAACAAATTAATTTCCAAAGTGTAAAACCAATTTCTATAAATAAAAAAAAAATTTACAAATAATTATAATTAATATCATTTGCACGTACATAAAATGTGTCATAACCACTATTTTATATGGAGTGTCACAAGAATATCTATCTTTTGTCATTTGTAATTGTGAAAGTCGAAGAAAATGTGATACAGAATTACAGATCAACGCAATGTTAGATGCGTATTCACCATCTTCATTAGTTGGGTCATGCTATGAAGATGATAATATTCAGCCTAATTAAGATTGTTCTCTTCCCCTCTATATTGTCAGATGAAGTTTTTAAACCAGAACAGTAGCTTATATCAAACTTGACCATTATGCTGAAAAGCGTTTTTTCAGCTTAAAGTTTTGGGCATATTTTCTTCATTTTCCTCTTTTATGGCTATATCTTAAGCATTTTGGGTAACCCAAAAGCAAAGCAATCTCGAAAGATGAAGCATTTTTGGTCATGGCCTTGGATAGACCCGAGAATTCTTCCAGATCAAAAGTGGCATGATTCATCTTCCAACATTAACCTGGATCTTCAAGCTGCTGGGGGTTGCCATGCAATATCAGCTCAACCAGGGCTGGTACATTAACCTGGATCTTCAAGCTGCTGGGGGTTGCCATGCAATATCAGCTCAACCAGGGCTGGGGGACCAGAACAAAGCCATTTGAAAATGGCCTAGGAATTAAAGAATAAAGGAAACTCTTTTGACTTTGGGAAGACACATCAGAAGTTAGGAATTTTCCCAAAACATCAGTGTTTGGAATAGAACCTCTATTTAATTGTTGTTAAAATTATGGAGTACATGGGCAGGTGTCTGCTTTCGACTCCCTACTGCTACCATCAACAACCTGACTTGGAAGATCATCAGAAAAGTACATCCCAGGTGGCAGCCAGCGTTTTGAGAAGGCAAACTAGAACAAGCATCGGCATGAGGGAACACAGTAGTGAATTTCCCATTTCGACAGCATTCAAGAAAGGAGGAGTCCGAGTTCTATATTGTCATGATCCAGACAAGCATTCGATTAATTTCCCATGTCGATAAGATTCAGCAAAGTGATTCGTTTCCCATACTGTCATGAACCACGCCATGCCACATACAAGCACTAAACAACCCGGTAAAAAATTGAAGCCTCGGCAGCTTTTACTCAGTCCACCAATGCAAATGAAACGAGAGAAGGAATTTTTTTTTTTTTTTTATATATATATATAGTAACAACAGCTGAGACAACAGAGGCCACCTATCAACCATTTACAAGTTTCCTATCTTACGTTGTTATCGTCAAAGGAAAGAGAAGATATGCTTCAAATAGTACAAAGTCCAACTATCACACAGTCAAGACTAGCAAACCCTATTAAGTACTACTATATCTAGAAACATCTGCCTAGCAAAAACTAGCCTAGGTGTTCCACAGCTGAACTAGAGTCTACCTGTACTCCTCTAAAAGATCAGCCAACACTTCCACAACAGAGATCTTTCACAGAAGGCATCTACAAGTAACCATCTGTCAGCATGGAAGAAAGAATGGTTAACAAACGTTCTTTCACTGTTGAAGTCAAAAGACAAAATGACAAACATCCAAAGAGAGAGTAGATATAGTGTAGTATTTGTTTACAACTGTGATGTTAGATACTCTACAAGTTGTCAAACCAAAAAGCTGGCAATTTTGGAAACCAAGAATGTATCACATGGCAAAAGGTAAGCAATCAACCTTAAAAGTCTTGCTTTGATTTTCACATTCTCATCAGAATCTTAGTTGTTTCTCATGCAGCATATAGAATCCAAGGAAAAAGGTTTGAATGAGGGAGAAAAGCTGAACAAGAAGGGGTGCTTGATGCCGTCATATGCACAGTTTCATCAATAAGACAGAACATGTTAAATAGGGAGAAGGGGCTGGACGGTCATTAGAAGGACCGTCCTTGAGCAATTCACGATCAAAATTTGATTCAAAAAAATTATACGATCCTGATCACTTCTTGTACCTCATTTTTAACAACGTATGTAGGACCCACAAAAATTTGTTCTAAAGTAACACGTTGTACAAATAAAGTTACGTGGTGTGCAAAATACACAAAATCACCTGCAACCGTTCCTGCCTGTGGTCCGTTAAATAGGAGCATTGATACTTGTTCTGGGTCCAAGAAGATAACAAACAGAATCAATGTAAGCTGGAAAGAAAGATGCTAAAGGTCTAGTTTGGTCTTAGCACTCCCTTGGTCTAGTTGAATCTGTATACCCACTAGTCCCTAACACAAGTCTCCTTAGGCTCCCCATCCCCCTAGATTAGGATAGAGTAGGTTATACAATGTATCGTTGCTGACAACAAAAAAAAGAAAAGAAAGAAAGATGCTAAAGAGGTGCTGCAAATTCTTTCGCTATTGAATGGTAGATGAGCACTTAGAACAATATGTGTACAAAAGATTTATTATTACTTGAGCACACATTTCACTTGTGAATGTATTTCAATTCCTTGGAGTTCATGAGATGAAGCCTGTCCATAATCCAACAAAAAACTAGAGAAATGAAACCTGTCCATGAGATGTCTCTCAGCAGTCACTCTTGATACCGCTAGTCAATCAACCACAACTTATTAGTTGAGCAAGACGAGGAAGCAGATCCCCAAGTTCTTTTTTATTTTATATTTTTTTCCAAGAGGATCATACCATAACTGACTCGGACAGGCTCCTTAACATCTCCTGATACCACTCTGCTAAATTTCAAGTCCATCTTCAAGGAGCAAATCACATCTTAGAATAACACATTTCCATATTGAGAGGACGGGAAAGAGGGAAGCTAATCTAAATCAGTTACCACGCAATATTGTACAATGAAGGCTGTATGTATTATGTATAATGCATTATGCTCTTTTAACCTTTAGGCAACCTAGCCAGACGACAATATCAAAGTCAAGCTCTAGTGCTTAGGCAAAGACAAAGTTCATAAAATACACCAGAGGTGACAAAAAAAGGGGAGGACATTCAAATGGAGTAATTAAATGGGGAAACTCCGGGACCGTCCTAAACATACACTAGGCAATATGTTCTGCTGAATTTAATAACATACAATATGAACGGAAGAGAGAAAAATCACTCAACATATATTGCGCCTTAACATCAGCACTCACAAATCTAAGCTTTTGGGACACATGGCAATCACTACCGATTAAGAATCAAAAGACTACCATCAAAATCTCCTCCATCATCTCCTACCTCCGCAATTCTTGAACAGCAGCATAACCGCCACTGTTCTTTAAGCAAGTAGGTGTCTTGTACACTGCAATGTAAGTCCATACTCCATAGACACAACAACCTCTCATCAGCACACTATAATGGAGCAATCAAATACTGTCTCACCACATTCAAAGTGATTATACTATTCCCCATATTCTCTACTTCGATGGCTATCAATAGTTTACCTGTAAAACACCTCTCACTAAAATAGTTTACCTGTAATTCCACCACCTACAAGTTGGCCTACGACAGTTGGTATGGCAACATCTCATTTTTTATCATTTTAATGGCTATCAATCATAAGCAACTACTCAGTTTCGATCAGTACCTCAAGGACGCAACCCAAAAAAAAAAAAAAAAAATCAATACTCGAAACTGAAAATTCCATCATAACATGCTATACTGAAACTAGAGTCGTGTAACATTGCCAGCATTACTCGAGACAAAATCCAAATGCACAGATAAACTTACCACCAGATTGTGAATTGCGCTTAGATCGCTTAAGCTTTTCGAGCTGGACCTGGGATTCCATAAAAAGCTTCATCCTTTGAATCTCCAAATCCTTGGCAAACTGCATTCTCTGCTTCTCCAACTCAACCATTTGCCTCTGTTTCGCCTCCTCTACTCTCTCATATATGTCCGCAAATCCCCTTATCGCCTCCGCCAACTTCCTATACCCTTCTGCCGCCACCTTCCCCGCGGCGCCCCTCCTCTTTTTCCTCCTCATCCCACCCGACCCCAGTCCAACCGCGGCAGCACTCGACGTATCAGACTCTTCCTCATCCTCGTCGTCCTCCGCCACCGCCGCAGCAGCTGCTGCCATCGCCGAGAAGTTCCGTCGGAAAACCGCCTCCTCCCCCATCGCCGGAGCTGGCGCAGGCCGCTTAGACCTTGGACCCACCGGCACCGCCGACGGCAACGGCGGCAACACTGGAAACTCTTTCCTCACCGTCATCGTAGCCGGCGCAGACGCAGGCGCCGGTGACGGAGAAGTATTTTTTGCAGCGAGAGAATTTTTCCTCGTCACCGGAGGAGTACCGGAAGGAGGTGCGTTGGCCTTGATAAAAGAATCCCCGATGAGAGAATCCAGCGATGCGAAAAACGGCCACGTAGAAACAACCCGGCCGTTCGATTGCAAGAATTTAGCTTTCTCGAGTTTGTACTTTTTCTTCAAGGTATCGATGCGGTTCTTGCACTGGATATCGGTCCGGTGGAGCTTTTTGGTGTGGGCATGGTCGGCGTTAACGGCGTCAGCGACTTCTTGCCAGTGCTTCTGACGGAGGTTACCTCGGTTAAGGTCCAAATAATGGGACCCCCAAGCTTCAATCAAAGTATGGGTGGCATCCTCCGACCAACAGTCCTCTCGAATCGGGAATGACGTAGCTTTAGTTGTTGTTGATGGACGGGGAGGTGGGTGGGGAGGGAATATGTCAGCTGAAGAGGAGGGGGGAGGAGGGGGGGAGGGGGAGGGAGAAGGAGGGGTGGTCGGGTTGGTGTTGGTGGAAGTTGGGGGTAAGCCGCCGTCGTCTTCGTCGGACATGGGTGGGGAATGGTGGGATGTGGTAGTGGTGGTGGTGGAGGAGGAGGAAGGGGAGGTGGAGTTGAGAGGAGGAGGAGGAGGAGGAGAATGGGAAGCAGAAGCAGGTGAGGGTCGACGGGCCGACGACATAACGGGAAAAGTATGACCAAAGGCGCCGATGAGGTGCGGAGGGTCAGTGTGGCGTAGGGGGTGGGAATTGCAGTTTGGTCCTTGGGCGGGTTGGTGGGTGGAGCAGTGGTATTGGGTTAATGGGTAAATGGATTTATGGGTTTGGGCTTTTGGATTTATTGCATTTTGGTGGGAAGGGGTCACTCTGGAGGTCTACAAATCTATATAAGTTAATTTTGTACTTTTTTTTTTTTTTTTTTTGTAATTGTACATTTGTGCCCTATATCAATTTGTACATGTATTGCTAAAAAATAGGAGAACTTATTTGATCAAACCTTCAAAGTAGTGTAGAAACGTGGGGTAGTAATCGTGTATTTTTATCATTTTTCTTGTAAATTTATCAAATAGTCAGCAAAATTACCTTGGTAATTGAGATTCTTTATTAGTACCCCCGTTATAATCAACGTATGGCGATGGAAATGTGTATTACAACAACCATAATGAGAGTCAGCTTCTAAAATACTACCTAGTTGAAAGGTAACAATACACACTATTTAGAACAAGAAACAAATCAAACTTTGTAGTATTCAAACTTATTAGTTATTTTAACTAGTTTAAAATTTTGTTCAAACTTATCTTGTTTAGTCATTATATCGATTTTGAACGAGTTTTTTTTTTTTTTTTTATCGAACTTGAGAGTTGTCGAGCACAAAAAGTTATTCAAATTTGGATTGACTAATTAACGAATCAAATTGAAACAAACTCTTATCAAATCGAACTCGATTCGAGTATCAAATAGTTAGATTCACCAACAGGGGTTGGTTCGAGTGGTAAGCGGTTCGGATTCGCTTAAGTAGGTCTCGTGTTCGAGTCCTAGTGTACGCAGACACCCCTGTTGGGAGACTCACCCACCATAGCCAGGTGCGCGACGCGGGTCGGGTCCGGATTAGTCGGGGCAAAGCTTCGGATACCGGGCGGGCAACCAAAAAAAAAAAAAATAGTTAGATTCATCTTTCAATTCGAAAAGCATTCTTTAGAAGATATTACAAATAATATTCTTGGGCCACAGAAGGTCTTTATATCTTGAGTAAATTGTTATTTAACGCTTTGAGATCTTTGTCATCTCAAGCTCTCTCACAAATTTAGAAATTCTAGTCCATTTGCCATTGAAACAAACATCCTTAATCACGATTAAGGGCAGTCTAACTATGTGGGTATACCTCCCATCTGCCCCAATCCTTTCAATCACCAGGATCAGGCCCAAGCCAAGCTCACACAAACTACATATTTTAACAATAAGTAGGGTGTCTACAATTTTGACAATTAGAGATGCCATTACTGTGAAAGCCCAAGGATGACGGGCCTACAGTTTAAGTAGGCCCATTTCATTGTGTTAATCAGAAATAATACAAGAAACAATATATACTACAAGAACTTCAGTCCATACTTGTAATACCAAAGAGGTGGCATCACAATTGGCACATTCCAATTGCCACTGCAGAAATATTGAATTACATTTCTCTCTTTTTGATTCTTTCTTGCCTCACCTTCTTAAAGAATTCAAAATAGAAAGAAACAGAAAATAGCACCTAGAGTTATGTAGTGTAGTAAGCAAATCTAACCCAAAAAAATAAAAAGAAGAATTCTTAGTTAAGAGAGAGAGAGAGAGAGAGAATTCTTTTAGTAAAATCAACCATTCTAAAAATGCTTGACCTTCAATTCTCATCCAGGTGCAATCCAATATATGTACTATGTACTGTGTAGTACCTAAACTAAAGGGTTTCGTGCTTAAAATTAAATGTCAAGTTTTCATTTTATTGATGTTCTAAAATAAGAGTCACAATTTCAAAATTAACACATATTTTTCAATCTTACTATTTGAAAAAATATTTTTAAAAAAAAAAAAATTTCAATGCACATCTAGTAATGGAATATTTTGAATTGAAAGAATACATATGTAAATTCATCGCTGTCATCTCATCTGAACGTAATAATTGCCATATCTACGTAAAAAGTTAAATTCCAAGAAACGAGTCTATAAGGACAGAGGGAGTACTAATAATTGGTTTTTAGCAATCAATCATCATCATCATGCATCAGGCTTTAACCTTTGAGTTGATGAGGCATAAAGAAGAAGGGGGAAAAAAACACCCCACAACACACGTCCTTCTCTTGACCTTTTCTAAACTGAAGTTTAGAAATTCGGCTTTTATAAACCTAATCCCACAAGAAACCTCAAAAGCCGGCAACTCTTGAGCTCCTTCCAGGGACTTATAAACCAAACCCAAACCCCCCCCAGAACCGATGTGGGATGGCAAACCCCACAAGGGCAAGCCAGTAAGGCCGCTGCTGCTAAGAAGTAAAGACCCCTCACGACACTCAGTAAACTACCCTTGCATGAATTTGCCTCTTGACCTTTTCTAAACTGAAGTCTAGAAATTCGGCTTTTATAAACCTAATCCCAGAAGAAACCTCAAAAGCCGGCAACTCTTGAGGTCCTTCCAGGGACTTATAAACCAAACCCAAACCCCCCCAGAACCGATGTGGGATGGCAAACCCCACAAGGGCACAACACACGTCCTTGATCTTATGGCATTTTATCCCATGGTGAAAAGGGCAATTGATTGGACAAATGCTTGTGCGATAACTCCGCGGGACTCTTGGCATTTTCACATGGTCCTTTCACTGGTTTGATATTTGTCCCCATTACCCATTGTCAAACGGCACGTGGTAGCTGCAGGGCCATTTGTGCTTCAGACCAGAACCGGCAGACATGAATCCAAGCATCCATCTAAGAAGAAAAATGAAGCCGTGAACACAGGAAATGATGACATAACAGTGTGCTGCAATGCAATTTCAACTTGTGGTGGAGGAAACTCAAAAAATGAAACGTTATAGGTAAGTATAACTTATCAACGGGTGTTATTAATAGTTGGTGGATTTTTTTTCTTGTGGATAAAAGCAGTAGGGTAATTGGTACTTGAAGGGATGGTACATGGATAGTACCATCAGCCATGTGTAGAACTTCTGCAACTAGCAGGAGATTGGGAATTTGGGGTACCCCACTTCTTGTTATCTTGTACTGGTTCTCACCTCTCAGTGACCTTATTTTTGGAGTTCATGAGTTGATCATCTAAGTGAGGACTTTAGTTCAAATTTGTCCAGTTCTTATGCTATAATGGAAAAAATGTTGGGATGATTTTTTTTTGGGTGTTTTTGGAAAACTTGTATAGTAGCACCTTGTTCAAACGAGTGCATGTGAGGTAAATCGGTAATTGGAGTACTGCCTGAAAGATTTCAAAAGTTGAGTTTGTTTTTTCAGAAAAAAAAAAACCTATGTGTTTGGATATCTCATTATTCCAAATAATATTTCACTTGTATTATAAACACATTTTTCAATCCACTTATTTATATTTCTAACCACCTTTTTATCTCATATACATCACATCATAAAATGTGTTACAGTAATTATTTCAAATAATACTTTATTCAAACGGAATGGTGTCTCACCTACAAGAGCAATGAGTTTGTTTTTTCAAAAAAAAAAAAAAAACATTGTTTTAATAATGTACTTGTGTCTAAGGAATCATAAACTCCAGCCTTCCTTTAGATGCATGTAGAAAATATTTTTCAAAGAAGAAAAAACTTGGCATAAACATGTTAGCTGTTTGATCTAGGTTGTAGTTAGTCTGACTGTATTTCGATAGTAAAATTATTTTCATTTACTGTAACACTTTTTGTGATGTGATATATGTAAAATAAAAAGATGGTTGAGCATATAAAAAGAGGGATTGAGAAATGTGTTTATGATACAAGTTAGATATTATTTGGCAAATTTGAGCTATCCAAACACGTACATTTCCCAATTAACTTCTTGTTTTTCCAGTTAACTTATTAATCTCACGTACATTACATTCCAAAAAATATTACAGTAACTATTCCAAATAATATTTTAAATAATCCCCTATCTCAACACACTCTGTGTTACTATTTTTACGTTATAAGGGGACACTTTAAATTCCCTATTTTTTTTCTGTGTCCGACGAGTTTTGTTTGGAGAGAAATGTATAAACTAATTAACTAATATTGCACAATCATTTACCTTTACCATACTACCACTCTCAACGAATTTTGATGTTTCTACTACCATGAATCCATTTGAAGATTTCAAGAAAACCTCTAGCTAAACTTTTTCGACGAAATCATATTTGCAGGGACCAAAAGCATAATCATACTGGCAATTTTGATAGGACTTAAAAGAAAAAAAAAAAGCAGATGCAATATTGAAAGATGAGTAGATATGCTCATTTCCTCTTGCTAGATAAAAAGGGCTTTGGTGATAAGGAAAGGAGATTATAAATCTATTATTACTGATTCATAGTGAAGCATGTGGCTGTAGTGTTTTTATTTGATTGATGCAGACTTGTGATTCATTCAATTTGGAAACTGGTCCTCACGATGGTCTTTGTCATTGCACATCAAAATTGAGAATTATCCCCTCCACAATCTAGAAATATTTTTATGATTAATCAACAGCAACGACAATAACTTTTCTGGGCCCCATCGTAAACTCCAAACCTTATCTGAATAGAATCCTTACTCTTTGGGATAAGGCTAGTAATAAAAATCTTCCAAAAGAATCCGCCAAATGTCAAGTACATGTACATGAAAATTAGTAAGATCATACCACTTCTTTAAGATACTTAGTAAAAATCCAGTAAATCACTTGTATATGTGTGTGTCCTGATTTTTTCTGGTAATTGGAGTCGATTCCATTCAAATTTTGTAATGCTAAATAAGGGAAAAAAAAAGAAGAAGAAGAAGACAGCCTCGTATCATTGAATGTTCAAATTATGCATATGATTTTCTTCTTTTCTTTAGTAAACGGGAGGTTTCGAACTGGATCTCTTATTTATAATTCCTTCTATTTTACCACCTTACTCCAATCCTGCCACCCTCCGATTTTCATTGTTATACTAGTATATTATATTTCACATTGGGATTTTTTTTTTGAAATTATTTTTCCATCTCAAGCGTCAGACTAAGAAAATCAAAGAAACTATGATGCTTCCTAATTGTTTAATACCTCTCAATATATCAATCATACTGTTATATATCTTTTCTTCTTTTTTTTTTCTTTTTCCCTTTGAG